AAAATTACCATTATTATTAATTTTTATAGATGAAAATTAAAATATTTTTTTTACTGACTCATTAGTGAACAGTGAAGACCATGAAAGACTCAGTCGCCAAAATTAGCTGAACAGTGAAGACCATGAAAGACTCAGTCGCCCAAACTGGCAGAACAGTGAAGACCATGAAAGACTCAGTCGCCCAAACTAGCTGAACAGTGAAGACCATGAAAGACTCAGTCGCCCAAACTAGCTGAACAGTGAAGACCATGAAAGACTCAGTTGCCCAAACTAGCTGAACAGTGAAGACCATGAAAGACTCAGTCGCCCAAACTAGCTGAACAGTGAAGACCATGAAAGACTCAGTTGCCCAAAATAGCTGAACAGTGAAGACCATGAAAGACTCAGTCGCCCAAACTAGCTGAACAGTGAAGACCATGAAAGACGCAGTTGCCCAAACTAGCTGAACAGTGAAGACCATGAAAGACTCAGTCGCCCAAACTAGCTGAACAGTGAAGACCATGAAAGACTCAGTTGCCCAAAATAGGTGAACAGTGAAGACTATGAAAGACTCAGTCGACCAAACTGGCAAAACAGTGAAACCATGAAAGACTCAGTTGTCCAAACTAGCTGAACAGTGAAGACCATGAAAGACTCAGTTGCCCAAAATAGCTGAACAGTGAAGACCATGACAGACTCAGTCGCCCAAACTAGCTGAACAGTGAAGACCATGAAAGACTCAGTCCACCAAACTGGCAGAACAGTGAAGACCATGAAAGACTCAGTCGCCCAAACTAGCTGAACAGTGAAGACCATGAAAGACTCAGTTGCCCAAAATAGCTGAACAGTGAAGACCATGAAAGACTCAGTCGCCCAAACTAGCTTAGAGTTAAATGCTAAATTCTAGTCCTTTTTTACAAATTCAAAGAGATCAGAGATTACATATCAACAGAAATGTAGTACCTTCTGCATACTGGCCACCCAGCATTGTCCCTGCCGCTTGTTCTGACCAGCTACAACCATCTTGACTAGCTGCATTTCTCCACAACTGTCCTTATATTTCATAGCAAGACCACTGGCCAGTGGGTTACCTATACATAATGTAAAAAATTTATGTGAGCTAATACAATACAAGATTATCTTTTAATTAAATAATATTTTCATGGTACATGTATAATTTGATGAAATCTCAAATTTGGACACGGATGCCCCAACTATATAATATGGCACAAATGTTGTGTGACGGACATTATATTGTATGTCAATGCATTGAAAATTTACCGAACTTGAACTTCAGTCAGGGCCAAAAAACCCTTCTTTGTAGAGGCTGAATATAGGCTGCTTCCCCAACCAAACTAGCCTTTTTTTCCCCAGTTTGGTCCTCAAAATTCCCCAGTCTTTTGAAATTTCCCATAGAATTTAGAACAAAATTAAATGATGGTGTTGAACTAAGGTCTTTTACTGCCTTATTAGTATTTCCCAGTGCTTTTTGCTTTTCTATCTTAAAGAACTCAATGTTAAAATTTTGTGTTAAATTTGAGACCCCTTTTCCCAAAGTATGCCAAAATCACGCATATTTTCCCCAAGAAAAAGGCTGACGCCCCTTCCCCAAAAATGGTGTTTTGTGTCATTATACAAGTTTAGGAATCACCTACCCTTTAAACTATCGAATATGAAAACATGTAATATTTACACATTTTCGCAAAATTAAAAGGCCTTACTATATAAAATTCAAAGAATGTTGTGTTTTCTTTTTTGAAGTATAGGTAAGTGTTTCTTAGAAAGCGTATTCAAAATTTAATTGGTCAAGAACTGTGCAGCCATTTGACCAATTTAAAATATCAAATGTTAACTAATATATTAAACACTAACCAATAAGTATTTGAAATTATTTTTTTTTTAAACGGACTATTAACTAGGCTAATTAAATTTAACCAAATTATCAAAGTAAATGTGTAATGATTTACTTTAAACACTGCAATTCTATTGGACAAAAAATAATTTTAAACACTGATGATATTTATATACATTTACTTGTAAAACCCTTTCCATTCTTTTATAAAAAAAAAAAACCAACTAATTTCAAAATGTTTCCACTGAATTCACACAAACAATTTAAAATTTTACAAAATCCTATCAATATATTACAATTATCTAAACTTTTATAAACAATGGGAAACAAACATAGGTAAAAAGAAAACCATCTTGCTTATGTCAGCATGCAACAAGTGGTAATTGAACAATCAGTGGAAATAATTACACAACACAAGGTAAGCGAGAGAAAAAAAAATCTTATTATTTCCTATGTTTATTCAGAATGTCGAAAATACAAATTATTTATACTACAGTGTCCTGTTTTTCTATAAAAAGGTTTTAAACTGATTATCGGCAGTAAATTTGTAAATTTTTGATAACAGTTAAACAAATTCTCTCAGTTCTTGAAAGTAAAACAAGAGCCTGGATAACGTTGAATTTTTAAGTGTGAAAGTTTAAAAAGGGCCATAATTCTGTCAAAATTAATGTTAGAGTTATGGGTTTTGATCAGTGACTTCCAATTATAAATGTGAGAAGTTTCATCCCATTCTCCTCAGTAGTTTTTGATATACCAACTTGTACACACAAACTTAACCATAGTGAGACAGAGAGTACATAATGAGTGCAATACATGTAACTTGCCTGTTTCTTTGAAAAAGATGAACTATATAACAAGAGGGCCATGATGGCCCTGAGGTCGCTCACCTGTATATAGGCCCCCACCCCCCCCCCCACAACGTTGCAGGGCCAATTTTAACCCAAGGGCTTTTATTTGCACAAACTTGGTAGACACCCATAAGAAGATGTTTCATGCTAAACATCTAAGCTCTAGCTCATTGGGCTTTTTAAAAGAAGATTTTTTCTTAAGTTTTTACTATACACATATAGTTAAAAACAATGACACACCTGGGGCGGGGCCAATTTTTGACCCCAGGCTTTTATTTGAACAAACTTGGTAGACACTTATTAGAACATGTTTCATGCTAAATATCTTAGCTCTAGCTCTTTGGGTACTTTAAAAGAAGACTTTTTTAAGTTTTTACTATATGCATATAGGGAAAATCAATGACCCCCGGGGCGGGGCCAATTTCGACCCCAGGGCTTTTATTTGAACAAACTTGGTAGACACCCATTAGAACATGTTTCATGCTAAATATCTTGGCTCTAGCTTTTTGGGTTTTTTAAAAGAAGACTTTTTAAGTTTTTACTATATGCATATAGGTAAAATCAATGACCCCCTGGGGCGGGGCCAATTTTGACCCCAGGGCTTTTATTTGAACAAACTTGGTAGACACTTATTAGAACATGTTTCATGCTAAATATCTTTGCTCTAACTCTTTGGGTTCTTTAAAAGAAGACTTTTTAAGTTTTTACTATATGCATATAGGGAAAATCAATGACCCCCTGGGGCGGGGCCAATTTTGACCCCAGGGCTTTTATTTGAACAAATTTGGTAGACACCTATTAGAACATGTTTGATGCTCAATATCTTAGCAATAGCTCTTTGAGTTCTTTAAAAGAAGATTTTTTAAGTTTTTACTATATGCATATAGGGAAAATCAATGACCCCCCCGGGCGGGGCCAATTTTGACCCCAGGGCTTTTATTTGAACAAACTTGGTAGACACCCATTAGAACATGTTTCATGCTAAATATCTTAGCTCTAGCTCTTTGGGTTCTTTAAAAGAAGATTTTTTTAGTTTTTACTATATGCATATAGGGAAAATCAATGACCCCCTGGGGCGGGGCCAATTTTGACCCCAGGGCTTTTATTTGAACAAACTTGGTAGACACTCACTAGAAGATGTTTCATGCCAAATATCTAAGCTCTAGCTCTTATGGTTTTTTAAAAGAAGATATTTAAAGTTTTTTCTTTCGGTTGCCATGGCAACCAGAGTTCTGCATGGAATTAAATTCTTTGAACAATTTTTAAAGGTGACTACCAAAGGAACATTCCTGTGAAGTTTGGATGAAATTGGCTTAGTGGTTTATGAGGAGATGTCATTTAAAGTAAAAGTTTACGGACGGACGACGGACGGACGGATGGACGCCGGACGAAAAGCGATCACAAAAGCTCACCCTGTCACTTTGTGACAGGTGAGCTAAAAATCATGCTAAAATCGACAACAAATTCTTACTGCCTAAAGTGAAAGAGAACTTCAAATTCAAACAACTTAAAAAGTGCACAGCATCTACAGTACATTATATGCTTGGAATTCTATAAACTTAGGTCTGGCCCAATTAAAATCAGTTTGAAATATTTGATCAATTTAGGCATGGCTATTTCAATCTTAGCTACAATAAGACTGAATAACCATTAACTTACGCACAACTAAATTATAATAATTTTAAAATTCAATAGACTTGCAAATAAAGGTTTAAATAATCTAATTTTTACTATGAAAATGAACTTGATACAAGATAATTAGGCATAGTCCAGCAATATTTTAATTCCAAAAATAATGTTGGAAAAAAACGCTAAAATACCTATATTTGTTTTGAAATACAATTAACTTAACATACTTAAATACTATCATTTTAGACATGGCCATTTCAATCTTTGTATTAATCCAATGAATGGTAACATGAACTTGAAATATATCCATCAACTTTGAACATGTCTACCATTGTTTCCTTGAGCAAGAAACCTTATGCTCATTGCTTAGTACTGGTTGGTTCCAGGAAATGATTTCAGAGTGTTTCAATAAGTTTATAGCTTCCAATTAACACTATGGAAATAACACAAATTCATATGAACTAACTAAAACAAATTCTAATACTTTTAAAATTGTAATGGCTAGAAAAAAGGTTGAAGAATTACCAACTGCAACTACAAATTGTATAGAATTCAGGTAATCAAAAACTGGTATCAGTCATTCATGACTGACAAATTTCCTACAATGCATTGCTTCATTATATAATGCTTTTATTAAATTATTTAACTTTAAAAATCACAACATCCATATACATGTAATACTGGAAAGAAAACAACAGAAGTAGGGTGCACACACACACAAACTACAATATACAGGAAGATGAAAACACAACAAAATTATACCATCTATTTTATCAGCATTACATTTCAATTACCAAACCTGTTTTTTCTCACTGATGATAATATTTAATGATGATAATCTTTTTAAATAAATCTTTAAATCCCTTTTTGCTTTAATGAGATAAATGTGTCGGTGTTAATTGAAATTTAATGCTGATTACATAAACAACATAAGGGCTTATCATGCAAAACTGTTGTATTTCAGTTAGAACTTCAAGCAGAAATACAGCAGTGTTGCCATGAGCCCTCGTAATGTACTATGTGAACTATAAAAGTCCTACTTGGAGATATGATAATCATGTCATCCAAATCCTCTGTGTAAGGCAAGTTTTAAACAAGAGAAAAAAAGATAAAGTACATGACATAATGCTTATTTTTTCATTGTCAAGTTGAGCTGAATTTACTATACATTTCAAATGATTGACTATTATAATGGTGTTTGACCAACAGTTGTTGGAAAATGTTAAGGATAAAATATAATATGCTTAAAATATAAATAGACTCTTTTTTTTATAAATTTAATGTTACAGGTAATTTTCGATGGATATTTTTAGAATGTTCCTTAGGCCATGCGAGTTATTCATCCTTCATGCGAAATAAATTATAAAATTGAAAGGAATAATGGCAACATCATGTAAACTTATTTTGACTTTCACCACTTCACTCACTATAAACCCTTGGTTGGGCATAATGTCACTTTTAGATGCAAATACCATATTTTCATATACAAAATACTTTACAAATTAAAGATCTGTAACACATTTCATGCAAAAACTGGCAGCTACATGTATATATTTGTAAATACAAACTATATAATATTATACATTAAATAAAGTTATTATCTCTATTTCTTCTGAACCCTTAGTCTGCTGGCTGCAAGTCATGTGCGACCCTGGTCCTCCACTCTCACCTTCTGACTGGATGTGATAGTTTTATTTTTTTCTATCAACAACCACAAACAGTATCCTAAGTCATAGTGAATTTGGCAAGAAAATTACCATGT